GGACTGCCCTGCAGTGAAAGCCCCATCTAGGTTGAACTTCAACATATCGGTTTCAGGCGGTTCCCATTTGGGCACGGTCATGTTTCGTTTTCCTGGAGCAAACACATGTTCATACTCCAAGGCAGTGCCTCTAATGTGCCTTATAATCTCCGGAGCTTGCAGCGGTAATTGCCCATCACGCACATTATTGCGTTGGTTCCACCATTGCCACCAGAATACAATGATCAGGACCCGTTGGTTCTCATTTAGCTCCCAGAGCTGGTCCAGCATCTCATGCACACTCGTGATCTTCTCCAAGCGCATGCGCTCGCTCTCCAGGCCTAGTCCACGCCAAATTTCTTTGGCCCATTTGCATTTTATGAATAGGTGTCCTCCATCTTCTTTTCCGTGACCGCAAAAGAAACATCAGGTCTTCTCCAACTTAACTCCTCTCCTCTCCAGGTTTTGGCAGAGGGCAAGAGCTTCATGTCTCAAACGCCATACAAACATCTGCAGCTTGGCCGGGCATGGTAATTTCCAGATGCGTTTCCAAGTCTGATCAGCCGTGTGCTCAAGTTGTCCACCTGCGCTTGTACTCGTTCCTGCCGATCCGTTGCCCGCGTGCTTGCTCAACTCAACCTGCAACTTATATGCACTTTTCACGGAGTGATTTCCTTTGCTATCATAGTGCCAAGCTATGAAGTCGTCCACACCATCTCTTAGTGGAATCTGGAGTATCCGTTGGGCATCTTCGGCACAAAAAATATCCCTCACAAGCTGTTCGTCCCAAGTTCCGGAAATAGGGCAGATAAGTTCAGCCACATGAGTTAACATGTTTGCACCTCTCGGGATGATGACATGCCGTGACCAAGACCTTGGTATCCAAGGGCCATTCCAGATATGCACCTGCGTTCCATTCCCAATTCTCCATATGTATCCTTCTTTAATCAGTTGCAGCCCATGTAAGATACTCCTCCAGGAGTACGAGATACCATCATGAGCTTGGGCCTCAAGAACGCTACTGTTCGCGAAGTATCGTGCTTGCAGCACCCTAGCGCAAAGGCTAGTCTGATTTTGTAGGATTCTTCAAGCTTGTCTGGACAGCATTGCGATGTTGAACATATGCATGTCCCGAAACCCTAATCCTCCCATAGCTTTGGGCATAGTTAATTTATCCCAGCTAATCCAGTGCATCGCATTCTTCTTGTCCTGCTGGCTCCACCAGAATGATCCCAGGAGAGAGTTTAGTTCAGCACAGAAGGTTTTAGTAAGGTCGAAGCAAGACATAGCAAATGTGGGGATTGCTTGCCCCACAGCCTTCACCAAAACCTCCTTGCTCTCCTTCGCTAAGAGCCTTTCCTGCCATCCGTTCATCCGGCCACACAAGTTGCGCTTGATGTAATTGAATGCTCGCTTCCTTGAACGCCCCACGTGAACAGGCAGACCTAGGTATTTCTCGTTCCAGTTCTCACTGTGGATACCCAATGCATTTTTGACTGATTGCTTTGCTGCATCACTAGTGTTGGGGCTGAACATGACTGCAGATTTCTCAATATCTATGCATTGGCCAGAGCAATCCTCATACAACTGTAGCACATCATGCAAAGCCGCTGCTTCTTCCTGGTTCGTTTTCATCAACATCATGGAGTCATCAGCGAACAGAAGGTGTGAAACGCAGGGTGCCTGCTGACAAATCTTGACGCCATGGATTGTTCCTTTCTCCTCGGCATCATTGAGGAGCACAGATAGCCCCTCGGCACAAATGACAAACAAATATGGAGATACGGGATCTCCTTGTCTTAGGCCGCGAGAAGGGCTGAACGTGTTTGTGACCTCGCCATTGACTTTAATTTGGTATCTCACTGTTCTCACACACTTCATGACCAGATCAATCCATGTTCTGGTAAAGCCCAACTTACACAGCATGGCTTCCAAAAAACCCCACTCGACACGGTCATATGCTTTGCTCATGTATGCTTTTACTGCTGCCACACCACTCTTGCCACTTCTCTTGTTCATGATGTAGTGTGAGATCTCGTATGCAATGAGGACATTGTCCGTGATTAGTCTACCTGGTACGAAGGCGCTTTGATTATCCGAGATGATATCTGGCAACACCGACTTCAGCCTATTTGCTATAACTTTAGAAACCAGCTTATAGACCACATTGCACAAACTGATTGGCCTTAGGTCCTTGATCCTCTTCGGGTTCTTTACCTTGGGGATTAGTACAACCATAGTATCATTCCACCCCTCTGGCATGTCTCCTCCATTTAGCACTGCTAGGACTTCTTTAACAACTTGATCTCCCATAAAATGCCAGTGTCGCTTGAAGACGATAGAGGGCATGCCATCCGGACCCGGTGCTTTTAGATCACCAATATGATCCAGTGCTTCTTTCACTTCCTCCCGAGTGTATTCAGCTTCAAGAGTTGCACGCATTTCATTATTGACTCGTGGTTGGACCTTGTCGATCAGTTCTTGTATTCGATGCGGATTAGAAGATGTAAATAGGTCCTGAAAAAATGAACACACGTAGTTAGTTAAGTCCTCCCCTTCCTCCACCATCGTGCCATCCTCCCTTCTGATCTCCTTCAACCTATTCACCTTCTTTCTTCCATTAGCTACCGACTGCAAATATTTGATATTCTTGTTCCCCCCTCGCAACCACCACATGTGTGCTCTCTGTTTTAGCTGGGTGTGCTTCTTATCTTTCAACTCCTCCAACAAGCATCGAAGTCTAGCTTCCTCTCTTATCTTAGCCTCCGAGACCCTCTCCTTCATGCACCACTCCAACTCCGCCCTAGCCTTCTTAATCTTTTCATCCAGCTCCGCCAACACCTCCTTGCTCCATTTACTTGCTCCCGAAGCAACTCCTCGTAAAGCTTGCGCCGCTCCTCCTCCATTTCCCACCAGACTATCATTCCATGCTTTCTTCACTACCTCCTCACACCCCTCTTCTTGTAACCACCGAGCTTGGTCTCCTCTCTTCCATCCTCTATCCGCTCCCTCCGAACACACGATGACCGGCCGATGGTTAGAGTGCCTTGGTTCACCATTAATCACCACATGTTTTGGGAAGTTTTGGCACCATTCATCATTGGCAGTCGCACGATCGAGCCGCTCACAAATGTACGTTCTTAACTCCTTGCTGTGGTAACTCCATGTGTACATATCACCCTCAAAACCAATATCCCGGAGCTCAAATTGTATAGCATCACGGAAGGCAGCAAGGGAATGTTGCATCGCGAAGAAGTTGAGTGTTGCCGCTAAAAAGACGCCTTAGAGTCTGCTCGGGGTTCTGAAAACAGGAGCGATTTCCACACTTTTGTATGAAGGCTGTTAGGGCATGTACAATGGGGGCGCTGGGCGCTAGGAATTAAATCCTAGCTGTTTCGACAGTTTCCATGCCATTTCTGGTGATTTTTCTGGCATCGATGCCACCTAAGAGTCAGACGCTTAAAAATCACGTACAAAATTCCCTCCCTAGCGCCTGTTCCTAGTGCCCGGCGCTTGCGAAAAAAAAAAAAGATCAGGATTTAAGCGCCTCTCCGTTGGAGATGCCCTTAGAGACATTAGACAGGTCGGCCGGAGCACCCGGAGCTCTCAACTCCATGAAGCAATCCGGTGCTAGACAGACAACATGACCATATAAAATCTACATGCTCTTTATCTCAGGAAAGAAAAACCTATACTACATGTTCAGCGCACATGACATGATTGTGTGCCAAAAGGCAACAGCGAACGGCGACGGCAAGGTCGATCCGAGGGAAGGTTCGGTGGCATCATTCTCTAATCTACAGGGGAGAACATGCCATGTTCTGCCCTCCCCCGAAGGCCCAAGCCCTTGCTGTCCCGCACTGTGGATCATTCCCCTCGTAGACAGCAATGAGCTGCCCCTACCACCCTACCAAACCATGGCCAGGTCCATCCATGTGACCGCCCAACTGCGCATCACATTGTCAACAGTTGAGCAGCATGGAGACCAGGATTATGCATGCATGCATGGATCATAATGCAGATTCTTTCATGCATGATTAGTCGCTGCAACCAAAAATGCTCTTCAGACGGTACGCCCAAATCTGAATCTGACCGGTTCATGAATGCACCAGACTGTTTGTGTGTTTATCCCACCAGGGCCCATCTTTCCTCTTTTTCTTTTTTTTTACTTTTGTTACCCTGGAACGACGATTATCTGGCATGGTTAAAGGCTTGTTACTGGTATATCAGAAAGTTACAGTTTTCTCAACAAAAAAAGTTACAGGCAAGGGAGAACAGTTGTGGTACCGGTGATCACGGTCAGGAAAGGGGGACATGAGGGAGTGGGTAGGGGTACTGAAGAACCGTGCACGCATCTACTCCCATCTTTACAAGTTATTGCGGTCTTTGCCAACCTGTAGTTGCAGCATATGTGTGTGTATACAACCACAACGCTGACCCATTTCCTGCTCTCAGTACTCAGTAGGTAGCAGGTACCATATCAGTCTACACACTCCATTGAATTATCAGTGATGAGCCTGTCCGGTAGTGTACACCTCCCTAGCAATCAGCTCATAACCCAGGAAAACTACCCCTGCTGACTGCTCACCTGACCTCCAACACGCAACAGCCAACAGGATGGATGAGCTTAACCGAAATCGTCAGCAACTAATGCGTATTACTAATTCGTAATGTCGCAGTTGCCGGAAGGTATTATACAGTTGGTTTAATTGGACAATGACAGTGTTCAGAAATCAGAATTGTGTACTCCAAAGGTGTTTTGTTTGTCAATTAGTCACAAAACAACAACTGATTCGATTGATTTCTTCAGAAGCTCACATCAGAGATTAGTTACAATCTTCGCCGTGTTCTTATTGGGTTTAACCACACTCACTAAAGCACTCATCATCATCTCATTTCAATCTAAGCTATGAATCATGAAACACAACAACATATACAAAGATTCCTTCATACAGAGAACGAGAATCGTGGGTTGAAGCGCATACGTACAAGTCTCAGGCAATGATCGCCGCCATGTCATGTCATGTCCGGGGGAACACGCCGAGCATCTTGCCCCTGCCGAGGCACTCGGAGAGCTTCTTTGCGCCGTCCACCTCAGCGGCCAGGAGCCCCTGCAGGAACCCGCACGCACCGGCGGCCACCATCTGCTTCCGGCACCGCCGGGACTGCGCCACGGCCAGCAGCAGCGACACGGGGAACCGCTTGTCGGCGCCCCGGACGGCCGGGTCCAGCAGCTGGACCGCGTTCACTATGCCCATCTCGTCTTTCTTGAACGCCTTCCGGTGGCTGCTTGCCGCCACCACCAGCGTCGCCAGCGCCCTCGCCGCGGCGTCCCTCTCGGCCACGGCCTTGGCCTCCAGCATCCAGATCAGCCTCGGCATCGCGCCCCCGGCCTCCTTCCTTGCCTTGCTGCTGCTGCTGACGCTGCACAGCTCCGCCAGCGCCATGGCGGCCTCTGTGCGGGTGCTGGCCCTGTCGCTGCCCAGCGCGGCCAGGACGTGGCTGACGAAGCCGGCGGACACCGCTATCTCGGCGATGTAGCGGAAGGTGGCCATGTTGCGGAGGAGCCCGAATGCCGGCGCGAGACCCGGCTGGTCGCCGCGGCAGGACTCCAGGAAGTCCTTGACGCAGCCGAGCGCGCCTTCTTGGAAAGCCTCTACCTTGAACCTCTGCCCCTCGTCGCCATCGCTGGCCGTCAAGTTCTGGAGGCAGCCAAGCGCGAGCTCCTGCGTCCGCGGCGTGCCGAGTGAGACGAGCTGCACGATCAGCGGGAGCGCGCCCTCGTCGCGGAACGCGGGGAGCAGGTCCGGGAACGCGGCGATGTTCCGGAGCACGCCCGCGGCGGCGGCCTGCGACGCCGGGGTGCCGGCGGCGCAAGCCACGAGGAGCGCGGCCACGCCGCCGCGCGCCGAGACGGCCGCCGCCGCGTCCCGTGACGAGGCGGTGAGCGGCTCCAGGGCAACGCACGCCTGCTCAGCGCTGGCACCGCCGGACTCCAGCGCGCGGCAGAGGTGGGGCACGACGGTGCCTGACTCCTGGGCCAGGAACAGGCAGCCGGCGTCGGAGGACGCGAAGGCGGCGAGCACGGACACGGCCTTGTCGCGCGAGGCCGGGAGGAGGTCGCCGGAGTCGAGCATCGCGGCGACCGCGGAGACGGCGGCGGCGGAGTGCGACGCCGGCAGGGAACCGACGGACTCGGCGAGCGAGTCCAGCGCCGCGGCGCGGGAGACGGCGGAGCCAAGCCGGAGGCGGGGTAGCAGGCTATCCGATCCGCCACCTTCGCCCCCGGCCGGGGATGGGGAGACGAGCAGGCGCGCGTCGGCCGCGAGCTGGGAGAGCGAGGCGGCGGAGGAGGAGAGGAGCGAGACGGTGTGGAGGTGGCCGAGGGGAGGGCCGCCGCAGACGGAGAGGAGGGCCTCGAGGGCGGAGGCGAGGGGAGAGAGGAGCGGCGCGGAGGGCGGGAAGGCGGGGTGGGAGAGGGAGGCGGAGAGCGAGGAGACGGAGGCGGAGATGGAGGGCCAGTGGCGGCGGAAGGCCGGGGAGGAAGCGGCCGCGGCGGGGAGCTCGGCCAGGAGGCGGAGGCACTCCGCGAGCGCGTCGCCGGTGGCCGGCGGCGGTTGCATGGTGTGGTGGACTGGAGGGGAGGGGAGGCAGAAACGGAATGGGAGGGGGGAGGGAACTGAAATGCCGAAATGCTGGGCGCGTGTAGTGCGAAATTGCGCTGGATCTGCGCGCCACTAGCGGAGCCAACTACTCTATGCTAGTGTACTTCTAGAAGTATACACGACTGCTCATTCTACTGCTAGCCATCGTCCAATATTGCATTCAGACCTTGAGCTGAAGGTCTGTCTACTCTGCAGTATGTCACTACGTGGGCCCTAGGAGCAACTCCAACACGCCGACCCAAAACAACGACATCCTTTTCAGATTTTTTTTGTTTGGAATGGTCGACTTATACAAATAGATCATCTTGCATATCATATTTATGGCATTTTTGCCTCGATCCTAGAAATTCTACGCAACTCAAGGACCCACGAAGAGAGTTGGGGATTTCGTTATTTTCAGATTTGAGTTTCTCAAATTTTGAAAATAGGATCAATTGATTTTATTTATTTCATCTTCAATTATTTCAATCACAAAAATAAAAGAGAGGGAATAAAATGACTTTCCCAAAAGAAAGAAATAATGAGGATTTAATAAAAAAATCAAATAAGTTTTATTTTGGGTGTTTTTGCTATTCTATTTGAATTTAGGAAAAATTGCACGATTTTCAAAAATGCATTTTAGGGCCAAATAAATGTTCATCTTGTTCTAAATATTTTATTTGAGCGATGAAATTTTATTTTGGTATTTTTAGATTTTTAGTTATTTTTCTAGAATTTATTTTCTGTCGGGGAAATTATTTTTAAAAAAAATTGCGCGCGCCGACTGGGCCGAAGCACAGCCGAGCCGGCCCGCCTCCCCGCGCCGCCGTCTCCCTCTAGGAGACCGCGACCGCCGCCGCCATCGCCGAGTCCGACCGGGACTTTGCCCCGCGCCGCCTTGCCCCTTCCCCAAGCCGCCGCCGCCAACCCCGCCGCCGGAGCCGCAGCCGCCGCCGC